TTCCTAAAACTTTTATATGTTCAACAAATTCAAAAATTAGTCTTTTTCTTAACTCCTGCCCCATTTCAAAAGAGATCTCTCTCCCCCTCTCCCTAAGGGGAAATTACTGTTATTACAATAAATCTTTCAGAAATTACATATAATTTCTGAAAATCCAAAATGTCCTGATATAATGTTTTCATTTATAATTCTAGGGGCTATTTTAAAATGGCCTTTTAGTTTTAGATTAACAGTTGTTCTTTTAGAATAAACTGGTACCATAAGTAAAGTGTATCCCTGCATTCTGGAAGCCATGTTAGCAAATTACCCCAGCTGAGGAGGGTGCGGTGGGAAGCCCTGACTCAGAGCTGGTGGGCTGGAAGCATCGACCGCGAGCAGGGACTTGCGATTGGCATCTGAAGTGAGGGAATCTGTGGAGACTGAGCTCTTAACCTGTAGAATCTGAAGCTATCTCCAGATAGAAAGTGTTGGAATTAAGTTAAATTGTAGCACACCCTGCCAGTGTCTGCTGAGAACTAAAGAGTTATTAGATGTGGGGAAAACACCCATATGTGGTGGGTAGGGAGAATTTAAGTAAATTAAATCACCATTCTGAGATATGAAATCTTCCATTTTCAGCTCTGCTTAAAATTTTGTTTCTATCGAATACTGAATTTAGCCTGTAAAATAAAGATAACCCTACCTGTCAAATCTACCTCATAACTGTAATGATAGAATGAAAGAATATATGCAAAAAAGTAACAGAATTAAAGGCAAAGAGCACTGTTATATCGTTCAAATTATTACTTTATTAGTAAGTGATAGAAAGCAAAATAACATATAAAAGTACAGATGATGCTTGAACAAACTTATCTAAATCCATGATGGCTTTTATAACTGGACCCACATGGTTGAAACCTGAGTTGTTCAAGCAAGGGTCAACTGTTATTTTTGACTTGTGGTTGAAAACCTGCTTCTGTGAAGTTTAAGTTACACATGGATACTCAGCTGTGTGGGTGGTCCACCCCCCCAAGTCATTCAAGAATCAACTATAATTTTAAAAACTTATTATTACTTTTTATCCTCACCAGAGGACATGTTCACTGATTTTTACAGAGGAAGGAAGAGAGAGGGAGGGAGGAGAGAGAGACAGACAGGCATCAAGGTGAGAGAAATATCTACCTATCGGTTGCCTCTCATAAGCACTATGACCAGGGATCGAACCCACCATCTAGGCATGTGCCCTCACCAGGAATCGAACTTGGCACCTTTTTGGTGTACGGGACGACGCTCCAACTGATCCACCCAGCCACGGCAGGGTCAACTGTAATTTTATGTGTCTTTAAAACAAGCAGGCATAACCAAAAACAAATAACTTAAGGCAAAAGCCAATCCCTGCCAAAATCAGAACCAACAACTGAGACAGACAGGCTTAAGACTAGATAGAGGAATAAGATAAAAGATAAAATGGGGCGGCGGGGGGGGGAGGCAGGAAACTACACCTAATTCCTTATGTTATACAGATATATGATGTAAAAAGAACTGTGAAAATAAATGATGTAAGCACAAGAAACAAAAGAAGGCGGGGCTTCTAATTTTGAATAAGTAAGTAAAGTCTAGCTGCTTCCTTGAGCATGTGTTGGATGTTGAGACATACCTGTAGTTTCTCCCCCCACCTGTAGTGACTCCGGGTGCCTTGCCCTGGGAAGCAGCAGAACTTACTCTCCAGGTGCTGTTTATGAATGGGACTGGGACTGACTCTGCTAGGCCACTGTCTGCGGGAGGCTATCTCCCTGCCCCCTACCTGAGGGTGAAGGAAGAAGGTCAATGCACTGGAAAGCCAACTTAGAGAGAGGTCATGAACTGTTCCAATGAGCACAAACTCTGCAGTCAGAAAGACCTGAATTTGAATCTGCACTCAGGTAATTGCCAGTCTGGAATCAGCGGTGCCACCCAGGCATTCCCAAACACTTTCTGAATTGGTGTGCATCTGGAATACGTGTTTTACTGGTCTGTGACCAAATGAGAAAAGCTAGGACAATAGAATATAGTTTTTCATAAGACTAAATATGCCTTTGTTTTCATGTTGTAATTATGATGTTCCTACTTTTTTGGGTGGTAAAAATGTCCCTTCTTTTACAAAACGATGGGGGTGATAAATTGTTAGTTGTTTTAAAAATTTTAATAGAATTAAGTTAGTAGTCTTATGTCTGGTCACAACAGCTCCCTATACACAGACTTTTTTCTTTTAACTTGCCCATGAAGTCCAAAAGTCTGGGCACTACTGACTCAGAAGTTTCATTTTTCTCATCAATAAAACAGGAGAGGGGAAACTCTTTTGCAGAGTTGGTGTGTAGTGCCGATGATACATATAAAGCCTCAAGCCTTGCAGGGGTGTCCATATTTCTGGTGCCCCTGGGCCACACTGGAAGAACAAGAGTTGTCTTGGGCCACATATTAAATACATTGCGACACATAGTCACAAAAAAATCTCATAATGTTTTTAAGTAAATTTACGATTTTGTGTTGGCTGCATTCACAGCCATCCTGGGCTGCACACGGCCTGTGGGCTGTAGGTTGGACACCCCTGCTTACAGCTTTGTCATCATGATAGGAAGCCTGACCACTTGACTTGAAGATGCATTCAATAAAATCCATATCCAGGCAGTTTAGCACAATCATTAAAAGCAAGCTATGGAATCAGACTGATCTATTTAAACCCTGGCTTTGCCACTGCTAGCTCGGTGAGCTTGAGTAAATCAGAGTCAGTCACAATCTCATCGCTCATTTGAGGATGATAAATGACAGAACCGATTAACTATGGCTTTTTTAGGATTTAAACTAGATTACATATGTAAAATACTTATCAAGGCATGCTCTAAGTGCTCTATAAATGTTATCTAAGCACTATTGTTATTAGTAATAGACTAAGGTGGTCAGAAGTGCATTCAATGCCTGTTACTTTCTGCATTAACACCTTTTAATGCAAAATACTTATTAGGAGGCTATGAGGATTTATTCAAACTATTTCAAATTAAATCGGTAAGTCAAGAATGAAAATTTGGATGACATACCGATCCAGGCACCATCAAATGTCATCCTAAACAATATCGATGTTTTTCATTACTTTTGAAATCTGTACATATTGATGAAAGGAGGTATGATATACAGTCATATAATCAAAATAGTGACTTTCAAATTAAAAAGTTACCTTTTATAAAATCAAATGTAATTTTTGTATTTAGTATCAATTTATTCCTCCAACACTGATCCTTAGTAAACAAACTATAGGTTTTAGTGTTAATTATGTTTTAAACTATGGCTGTTAAGTTTTTCTGAAATTCACCAACATAGAGTTGATTTTAGTTTATATAATAAGAGTTAATTTACAAAAAAAATTCTCAAATAATAAATGACATTTTCCTTTATGAATGTTAATGTGCTTTCATAACAAATATTTAAACAAAGACATTATACATAAACACCTTCTATGGGTGAAATCCATAAGCAGTTCTTTCTCAGGAATAACTATTGAGCAAAGTATGTTTTAATTCTCAAAAGAATGAAGAACTTCTATGAAAGCATAGCCCAACATTTCCTACTAACTCATGACAAAGGTTCTATCAGCATTTCTGGTCTTTAAGTCTAACTCCGAAGTCTTTGACTACCAGAAAACTGTCAGATACAGGTCACAAATCAAAGCTCACTGATTTTTAAATGTCCAGTATTAGAAAATATAGTTAAACTGTTTTCTTTATGTATTCCTGAAAACCATGTAACATAGCAACATGAAACTCAAGTAGTTACACAATAAATAATGTTTATCTACCTTTTGTGTAACTACTATAACTAGTGTGTGTGTATGTGTGTGTGTATATGAAACCATATATATATATATGAATGTTTTCTCTAACTTCCAGAACGCTTGGCAACTAAAGAGCAAAACTTATGAGTACAACATTGCTGTTAGCTTTATGGGGTTAAGAGGGGGCTGGGTCTGAATGCAGGCTTTGCCATTTAAAACCTGTGATCTTGGACAAGTCACTTAACCTTTCTAAGCTTTAGTTTCTTCATTTGTAAACTGGATAGAATAACAGTACTATCTCCAAGCATAACTTGGAGACAATTTATGCATTGAACAGTACCCGGCCCATAATTAACAATATGCGCTTCTAATTGTTATCATCATCAACTGCAACACTAGAAGTAACAATGCTGTTAAATTCTCTGCTTAAAAGTGACTGTCCCAAGTATTAGAAAGGTATAAATCAGACATGAAATAATTTCCATAAGAAGGCACTTCTGCTGAGATTTAATATTTTAATAAGCTTCTCATCAAAGAGCAATACATATTTTCTAGAATTATATTCGGAACCAAGAAAAAAAAGTCAAATTCAAGACCTCGAGTGCGACAACACACAAGCAGAGATGCACGGTTACCATCAGCGTCAAACACCTGCCAATCCTGGTCCACAGATGCCATTTCATATGAAAGGGCAGAACCGTTCCCATCTTAGAACTTTCTAGCCTGCAACAAACTTCTTTTAAGCGAGAATGAACACAAACACACCAAATGCCTCTCATGATCAATTCATCCCTGCAGAAAAGGAGATCTGTTTGCCAAAGGGGTTTGGAGCCACAAAATCAGTCTGTAAAGGGGAGGGAAAAGGGGGAAAGAAGAGGTGCTCGCATTTCGGAGGCCACAGGGCCTCCATACGGGACTGGAAAGGGGTTGCCCTGGGACAAGCGAGAGGACAAACGGAGAAGTCGCGCCCCAAACCGGTCGCCGGGGTAGAGCCTCGAACGGTCGAAATGGGGTTCCACGACGTGTCCAGCTCCCCACCCTCAGTGAGCCCCTTCCCTTCACTCCGTTGCCGCATCCATCAAGCGAGGAGCTGCCCGGCCGCACGCGCGGACTCCCGCAGCAGGTCTGCGCTCGGTGCCCGGGGCCAAGTGGCAGAAGGCCGACTCCCGCTCTCTTTCCAGGGCTCCCGTTCGGGCCCCGCTGCAAGGAGCCTTACCCCAGGTCTCACTCCGCGACAGGTGGTGCTGCTGGCAAAGAAGCCGAGGACCTGCCGTTCTACCAGGCAATGATCAGCTCTCGTCCGGCCCGGCCCTCCCCTTGTTGGAGCTTCTCGGAGCCAGCGCCAGCTCAGGATCGGACTAGCAGGAGCAGCTAGCTAGTCGCCAGCGACGCTGGCAGTAAAGCAACGTAGTGAGAGGGTGGGATCCGAGGGCAGAGGGGTCGCGAGGAAACCCGGCAGGACCCAGGGGCGGAGACTGACGGGCACGCGAGCCAATACGGAGGCAGGAAGTTGGCCCTGAGGGGCGGGGCTCCACCTCTGAGCTTCCAGCCCGCGTGTTCTAGTCCTGAATCGCAGACCTTTCTTCCGTCCGGATCGTTCAAGTTACTGTTTGCAGGGCCAACACGCTCCCCTGTGTACGCGATCCCCAGGAATGTGAGAGGGGTCATGTAGAACCAGAGTTGGCTTACAGCGGACCTCGCCTCCCTGGGACTGGAGGGGTTGTCGCTGGTGATGGCTGCACATTCGCGCGAGAAGTTCTGCGCAGGCGCGGGTGGGGCGGGAGAGAAGGCGGTGGCGGGTACCAGTCTCCCAGCCCAGCGGGAGTAGGGCTGGGAGTTTGGGACCATCCTGGACAGCCAGTAGAGGTTGGGAGAGGATGGCGGACAGATTTAGCAGCTGGATAAGGTCAGAGAATGGAGAGGCAGAAGAGGGAGGACCCCGGAAATGCGAGGCTTCCGCCCTTTAGGAACGCTTTCTGCTCCTGAGCTATTTTTGTGTCTAGGATTGCTCTTCTGCATAATCCTTCGCCAACCTCCACTGTTGCTGGCACAGTTAATGGCCGGCAGGGAATTCACTAATGATCCCTACCATCACAGCCACCATGAATAGGCATTCAGTGGTCTCTCTCAGGGAAGCAATAGAACACTAAATTGTCATCTTCAAAGAAGCAGGGACCGTAACAACATTTGGTTGAAAAAAGTTTGTTTAGTGTTTTCTGGATGATGGTCTAGTAGTGCTTAGTTGTCATTAACTTCATCTGAAACAATTTTGTTAGATTATATTGTGACAGCTGTTATATCTGCGCGCATTTAAAAAATATCAAAATTGGTGGACTTTTGTGCAGCCATTCTAATATTTAAGATGGAAGAAATGCGACATCATTGGTGTATTATGCTTGAGTATTTCAAGAAAGGTAAAAATGTAATGGAAACACAGAAAGATTTGTGCGGTGTATGGAGACTGTGCTGTAACTGATCAAATGTGTCAAAAGTGGTTTGTGAAGTTTCTTGGTACCATTGACATTTTGGCCAAGTAATTCTTTGCTGTGGGGCTGTCTTATGTGTGGAAGATGTTTAGCAGCACCCCTGGCCTCCACCCACTAGAAGCCAATAGTGGGAGTTAGCCAACACACTCAAAATATCCAGATCAATAAAGTTACTGGTGAAAATGAAAACTTTAAAAAAATATTTTATTTATTTATTTTTAGAGAGGGGGGAAGGGAAGGAGAAAGAGAGGGAGAGAAACATCGGTGTGTGGTTGCCTCTCACACATCCCCCACTGGGAACATAGCCTGTAACCCAGGTGTGTGCCCTGACTGGGAGTCAAACCAGTGACCCTTTGGTTTGCAACCTGGCAATCAATCCACGGAGCCACACCAGCCAGGGCGAAAAATGTGTCTTTCATTTTATGGACAAAACTGAACAGACTTTTTGGCCAACCCAATATAATACATTTATACCCACCCACGGTTATGATATTGGAGGCTATTTCTTTGCTTTTTTTTTTTTTTTTTTTCAGAAAAATATTATCACCGAAAATTCTTTAACCAAGTTTGTATACTCTTAATGTATGGTGATGATAATTTAAATATGAACATGTAAAGGATAAAAGAGAGGTAAAGTAAATGGAATAAGAAAATTGAAAGTGATGAAAATATAAGATAAAATCAAGTGGAGGTAGAGAAAAGGGAATTGCCCCCTCCTAAACACTTTGACAATTATGTAAAATCTGAAGCAACAGTGCTGGCCTGAGAATGGAAGGGCAGGGCATGTTGGTGAACACTGTAATTAGATGATAAATGATAGGTATGGCCGCTATAACCACTGCAGTAAAAGAGGGACTATAAATAAGCGTGACCTACAATAACCTTGCAGGCTAGAAATTGTCAAGATGCAGCAGGCTGAGTGAAGGAGACTTCAAATACTACACTATAAATGCATCATTAATAGAGGTAAAAGTATTTTGCCTTTGAAAGACAGTTTATCCTACATTAGAATAATTCCAGCTTGAAGGGTTGTAGAGAGCTATGGTGGATGGGATTTATTTTGGTGAAATTGAGGTCAATTCATTCCTTAAATGAAGTATCTGTTAATGTCAAAGGGGCAGATGCTGCTATTTGGCTGATCCACCCCATTCACTTTATTCTTAGTCACTTTGGTGGTCGGTCTGATTGGTTCAGTGACCAAACCTGATGCCTCTTTCTCCCCCCACCCCAGTTTTCTGGTGATTTGACCTTGATACCTTGTTTTACATGATCCCTTCCATGTAGTTCATCCTTTCAGGAAGAGCTTGGGTCTTCTTTCTGGCTCAGCATTGTTTGTATTGTCTGCCTGGCCTGGGGAGCTATTATGCATTCTGGGCAGCCAGGAATGGTCCCCCTTTTTCTGAGCTGGTCCAAAGGAGGGCATTAAGGGAGAAGCCTATAAGGAAGTCATTGGATCTACAACTGTTTCAGGGCCATTTACTGAAAAAAAAAAAAAAAACCCAAACAAACAAAACAACAACAAAAACACTAGCAATGCACAATGCAAACAGTTTATTTTATAAATGGATTGGGATGGATGAATTCATGCAGAGAGATGTGCAAAGTACCTCATTCAGCTTGATGATATTTTACATACGCACACACCTGTGTAGTCATTGCCCAGAGGGAGATACAAAAAATTCCTTGTGCCTCTTTTTACCCACCCGTTCCCCCTTAACTAATTACTTTACTGACTAATGCTGGGAGCTCTGGGGAAGGATGTCAGTATGGATCAGTTTGTGTGAGTCCTGCACTGTTGAGAGTTGAGGCTGCCATCTCAGGTTTTGTCTACATTTTGGCTGGCTCACCTGTGAAGTGGGAGGATCCTTGAATGGAGTGCTGCTGGCGCACACCTGGCCACGTGACTTCCCTGTAAAACTCTTCAATGAGCAGAGTTTAAAGTGATGTGTATGCCAGTTAGCTCCGATGGGCACACGTTCACGCACCTTTCTCGAACTCAAAGGAAGATACTTGGAAAAACTTTCATATCAGTTGCCATGAAAATAGAGCAGCTTTATACCATCCAAACACCACAATGTTTCCTTAAGGAAAGTCCATATTATTGAGCTTCAGAGAATTGTGGGAGGTCATTCTCTTTCTAATGAGAGTGCCCATGAGTAAGTAGGATCACTGGCTTGAGGCCCACACATCATCTATAGCAAAAGCAGAGAGGTTGTGCTAATCGCATGCTTAGATTTATACAACTCCATCTGCCTGAGAATAGAAAACATCAATAATGCATGCTGACTGCGCCGCTGGGAATTGCCCTCCAATAAGTTAGGGTCGTTAAAAATGCAAACTCTTTAAAAATACAGGAGAAAGGAAACAGTATATCTAAGGGCATTTGTGCTGAGCTGCAGAAGCAAACTTCCTGTCAGCCTCATGTGCAAGTGACACATAAAGGCATCTGGTGTAGGTTAGTACTATCATTAAGAAACAATAATGTTTTCGTTCTTCCCGAAATACAATGAAGCGCTAATAATGATAATTACATCCAAAAAGTACTAACAATTCCTTATATAATTAAAATAAATATAACTTTTCAGGCTATCTAACAGTGTAAACTAATACCACAATAAGCCATGTCTTCATTGGCAAGTATTTTAAGGAAAGTTCTAGAAATTTTTGTGAAGAACAAAGAAGTTAATTTCATAGATTTGTTAACAGTAGAACATTGACTCCCCAGGGGAAACTAACACTTTGGTATTTGTAGATCTTACTGTATACCACACTTGATTTTTCTGCAGGACTTTTAGGTAACCTGGAAAGAGTTAAGGCGAACAGCACCCAACCACCGAGCCACACCAGCCAAGGCGGTGTTGGTCATTTTAAATCTTAGTTCTGGCTCCATCGTTATCGATAAGAGAAGACTCTTATCTTTAAGAGAAGACTCAAGGAACATCAGCATTGGCATCGTTAGCAGCAATGTTGGACTTTGGTTCAAGAGTTTGGCAAAGAAAGAATTTAGAGCCAAGAACTCTAGCGCAAGAGGAAGTTTATGTAGCAAGAAAAGCAAAAGTACACTCAAAGAGAGTATTTGAGTGGGCTGCTTGGAGAGCTGTCTTGGCCTTTTAGAGACCTGAGGAAGAGTTGAGCTTAGGCATGCTGCCTCGGCTCTTTAAAAAGAAGGTCACAGAGGCAGAAGCCATGAGTCAGCTGGGCTGCGTGAACTCAGGAAACAACTTACAGAGGCAACAGGAGGGCCCATGGAGATAGGTTCTAGGGGTTGGCCCAGGATGAGCCGCTCCCCTGGCTTTAAGTCTAGGAACTGTTAGAGCTTAGGAGAAAGAAAAGCAAAGATACGCACAGGGGGTGGGGGCGGGGGGGTTGTAGCAGGGGCTAGGTGTGTTCCAGGGAGAATGTACACTAGGTCCTTTGTCTTAATGCTTAAGGGAGGGGGTCTTGCACGAGAGAAGAGGCAGGTGACACAGCGTGCTGGATGGGGCCAGTTTGAATCAGCCACCTGTCTGTTTCCTCCCTCCACTTGCCAAGGAATTTTCCTAGCTTCTTACTGTCCCACCTCAGCATTACCTGGGAGCTTGTTAGAAAAATGAAATCTGGATCCCAACTCCAGACCTACTACATTAGAATCCACCATACCCAGGGGTTCCATGCCCATAAACTTTTGAGAAGCTTGGAGGAACCCTAAAGTTCTAGATGCTGTGAACTCATGCTTCTGAGAATGGGTTTTTGCATATAGATATAGAATAATAGGAATCCCATGATACTTTATTTACTTTCAAAAAATCCCTGTGCCAAGGCAAACACAATTGTTCCTTCCTTTCCACACTGAGAATGTTATGCTTAAACCATGAGCAATAATTTTATCATTCATTCACTGCATGTGTCATTATGATTTAGACACCGGATAGAACGTCTGCACCAAATGGAATGGATGCAAAGTCTCTGGCTGATGCCTGGGGAAGAAAAACTCCCAAGAATGTTTGCCTTGATCATCCAACTAGAGTTTCTGCTATCTTGAGCAGAACTGAACATATAGGCCCTTAATAGACCCTGCGGGCTCCCTAGTTCTCAGACCACATGTTTCTAAGACTGTGTAAGCTACCCCTGAGATTCTGTCTCTTGGGGGAAGTACAAGGGCATTTTTCTATAAAGTGTTCAAGATTTCTCTGCCAAGAGAATAGCTATAATTGATACAGTAATTT